GATGCTGCTTGGCCTGCTGTGTTCATCCAGCTCTATACCTTGTTATCCCTAATTTCAGTGGCATGCTGATTATGTGTCATTGAGAAAGTGATCTCTGGATGTTCTTAAAGGCACCATTCAAGGGAGTATCTTGCCAAGTCCAAATAAGACATCTAAAAATCCACTATTACCATTGTAAAAGCGTTGAGGTTCAAAATGAGCTATGAATAGAACGAGAAATGAGATTTTTAAAATTTGAATGTAAAGGCAGCTGGTATTGTAAACACCTGATAAATGTTTGATGATCATGATTTATCATATCAATTAGCCACACACTTCTGTTAATTGTTCAGTAATGACACAATTTGCAATACAATATGTTCAAAACAAAGTTAATAGCACTGAGACTTTCCAAGAGATAAATGTTATGGGTCCCCCATCAACCTATTTAAAACTGGGGATTGGGGTAGCATTGTAAATTGTTCAGCCTGCCACCTTCCCTCCCACCTTTGACCTGTCAGCCATTTTAGGTGGTTTGAGGAATGAATTGAGGGGGGCGGTGGTGGTGGTGTGTAATGTCCTTTTGAGCTGGGTGCCCACATGGGATGATTCTGCATACACCAATCCTCAGCATTGCTTGTAGTCCCAGGAGTAGGCACTACTGTCTTCAAGCACTGATTGGACTATAGAACTGCCAACCAGTCAAATTGGGCACCAACTCTTTCTAACCCTGAGGTGTTGAAGAATCCAATCTGCTCCAATTATTGCTATGGAGTGGTCAGATTTTACATCATTGGCATTTCAGTCAGCTTTTAGCTATGGGGCTGAGGGTGAGACGCATGGATAATTTATCCTCCTATAAAATCCATCCCTTGGTCTACACCACCACACTGTTTGTAGGTAGAGTTTTGACACCAGTATAATACAAGAAAGGTGATGCCATTGTCACATTTAATTGAGCAATGAGGCCTATAATATAAAATTCATTCAATGCTGTTATTGAGTCAACTTAAATGTACCACGCTATTTTCCTGCAAGTAAATAGTGCAAATAATAAAAGACTATAAATTATGTTATCATTAGTGAATAAAACAACAGTGATAATTAAGTTAAAATATTGCCTCACCTTATGAAGCACATTATCCACCAGTCATACGTAGAATGAATATCAAATTATTATTTATTCTAATGTCTAGATTCAAAGGAGTTTAATGCTTCACTTTTCCCCCCACAGTATGTCATTGTTTGCTCATGTTGACCTATTTAACAACTAAGTCATGTCTTTGTGTGATGAATTATAGATGCTGAGATCATATTGATATAGCCGTGATTGGCATAACATTAATCAAAATGTAATTTTATTCTAGTTCACATCAGACCAGATTGCAGGAAAGGATGTTCGTCTCTTGAAAATTAAAAAGGTAACAAGAATTATTTCTCCAGCAGAATTTATATTCAAATTCTGAAGTAGAAACATGCCTATTTTATATGCTTTACTCCCATTCTATTCCTTCTGTACATAAACCTCATCTGCAAGTTTGATCAAAATATTTTCAGGAGGCTACTCTGCATTGCAGTTTTTGCACAGAATTAATTTTACTGTACAGTTGATGCAGCATTTTGTCCATGAGGCATTTGATAAATAATATCCCTGAAATGTCATCTTGGTAGTGAGAGCAGATGGAATACTTGGCCTCAAACTGCAAGATTTCACGTTCATGTATTGGGGTTGTCACTCCATTTGGAGGATGAATTTGTCAGTTTTTGGCCAGGTGTCAGCATGTGGAAGTCTCAATGGAGTTTAAATGTTCAATGAGGAAATGAAAAAGCAGTGATAAATCAGCAAGGTGTTACTAGAAATTTGTAGACTGCAAGTTTAATTTGCAGTTTTAAAATAATCAGTTATTTTCTGTTTTTAAGAACAGTTAACATTTGCAGATATTTAGATGATTTTTCATAAGGAATTAAAATAGTTTTTTTTTAATAGTCATGTTTCACGTATATGGCTGCTCTCTGTCAGCCCGTAAATTATATTGCATTAATTTCTGCATTAATCTCTTTGAATCTTGGCAACACTGGTGAAGGGCATTTATATAAACAGCTTTGTGATCCACATTATATCTGTACATTCCTCAAAAAAGTGATTGATTTAAGCTCAAATCATAAACTCTTATTGAACATTTGAACAGGTACTCCACAAAAGGTTAATATGCAAGATGACAGCTCGTGCAGCTGGGGGATGATATATTTGTATGGGTGGAAGATTTATTCATGGACAGAGAGCAGAGTAGGGATAAATGAGGCATTTTCAAGTCGGTAGGCTGTAAATAAGGGAGTGACACAAAGATCAGTGCTGAGGCCTCAACTATTCATAATCCATTTTAATGACTTGGAAAAAAGACTGGGAGCAATGTCTCCAAGTTTGCTAATGGCTCCAACCCAAATGGGAATATATGCTATGAGGAAGACACAAAGGGGCAACAAAGAGATGTAACCAGATTAAGTGAATAAATAACAAGTTGGAATATGGAGAATAATGCTGGGAAGTTTATTGATTATTCAGTTTTGCATTAAACAAAGGAAAACAGGAAAATGACATTGTTTTTCATTGCAAATAAACTGGAGAACAGAATAAACAAGTCCTGTTACAGTTATTTATGGCTAGTTCAGGATTCTGTTAAGGTTAACGTGCAGGTTCATTTGGCAGTTTGGAAGACAAATGTAATGTTAGCATTCATTTTGAGGGAGCTAGATTACAAGAGCAGGGATGTACTGCTACAGCTGTGTAAGGCTCTGGTCAGACTGCATTTGGAATACTGTGAGCAATTTTGGCTGTGTATCTAAGGAAGGTTGTATTGGCTTTGGAGGGAGTCCAGAGAAATTTTACAATAATGTCCTGGGGATGAAAGGCTTGTCATACCAGGAACTATTGAGGACTCTGAGTCTGTACTTGATAGAGTTTAGAAGGATGGGGAGGAATCTGATTGAAACTTGCAGGATACTGAGAGGCCTGGATAGAGTGGGCATGGAGAAGATGTTTCCAATCGAAGGAGAGATTAAGACCCAAAGGCATATTCACAGAATGAAGGGATGACCCATTAGAACTGAGATGAAGAAGAATTTCTTCATCCAGAGAGTGGTGAAGCTGAGGAACTCATTGCTGCAGAAGGCTGTGGAGCCTAAGTCATTGAATGTCTTAAAAACAGAGATAGATACGTTCTCGGAGATAGCAAAAGTTGTAGATGCTGGAGTCAGAGATAACAGTGTGGAGCTGGAGGAACACAGCAGGCCAGGCAGCATCAGAGGAGCAGGGAAAATTGAGTTAAGACAGAAGATCAAATGTGATCATACTGAATGATGGAGCCTGCTTAAGGGGCCATGTTGTCTATTCTTACTCCTACTTCTTGTAATCTAATGTTGGAGATGTGGTTCTATTGTGTCAATGACAACAATAGATTTCCATTCCCCTCTGGTCACATGCCAAGGACCCACAACACAGTGACCTAAAATGGATGTAACAGTACCTGATGTGGCTTGACTTTATTCTGCGAGTATATCACCAGCCATATTACAACACTAATAACAAAATGTTCATGAATTTCTTAAAGTTCATAAAATTGTAAGGCTCAATTTTAACCTCCAGCTGATTGGTTGGAGTACCAGGCTGCCTACTGCAGCTTTTCATTTACTCCCTCAGTCTCAGTAATTTTCTGCCAAGTAAATTTCCATAGGAATACTCATTGATAGTGGTATTTAGAAAGAAAAGGGAGTAAGTAAAAATATTTTAAAACTGCTCTTCATTATCTTCAACTAGCCTTAACTCGATAGTTGTTTCTTTCAGATTTTCTTCTAAATGTGAAAATACAGCTGTTGTAGTTGTTTTGATCCTAGATTTAGCAATGCAAAATTGAAATACTACAGTCTCTCAGGCTGTTATTGACATTTGTAGAGTCCCTGGTCATTTAGTTTATAGCGATGTCATTTATTGCGTTGTCAAATGCACTCCGGTAGCTGTTTGAGCATTTGAAATTACCAATGTAAAATTTCAAAATGTTGTATCACTTACAGCACTTGCATAATGGCAGGTGTTCAATAGTTTCAAATGTGATTTCCATTTACTTTTTGCCAGTCTTTTTATGATCTCTGAAAAATGTTCCATGCAGCCTATCAAACTGCTGCCAGTATCAGCAGTATCGTATCATTCACAGTGCATTGCTACTGCTGGGGATGGGATTGTTAGTGATGAAAGATCTGGTCTGTAAATATAGCATAAAAACTGCATTGATAATGAAAGTCGTTAGAATTCTATAATTGAGCTACCAAGTGTTATCATTATCTGTTCTGTTATGTAGGAAGGACCATTAGATCTTGCAGTTGAGGGGGGTATCAATTCCCCACTTGGGAAGATTGTTGTATCTGCAATCTACGATGGAGGCGCTGCAGATAAGCATGGTACAGTTATTTCTCTTGTATCCTGATGTTCTCTTGATTTGAAAAAAATTGACTTCTACTTTTGAGACCACTTTCCTATTCTAGTACTTATTGAGTTGAGTTTGTACCCTTGAGGAAGTGTCTAACCAACAATCTTAAAATTATAAAAGAATCCTTTGTGATGTGTAATAATATTTCTCTCAAATGTCCTTGGTGTTGGACTGAAACCAACTTAAACATTTCAACTTTTTTCTGAGACTTCTTCATTTTATTTTCAAAGTTGCAAAGCTCTTGACTCTACTGTACAATTCCCTGCACAGATAAGCTCCAGCCTTTTAAGGAGATGAAAGGTGGAAAGAGCAGTCCTAACTGAGTCAGTGAAGTATCAAGTTTTACTAACTTTGTTGGAAACATGTCCTTGTCCAACTTTAGATAAGGTTTAGTTTCTAATTCAGTTTGAGTTTCGTTCTAATACCAATGCAGAATCCTTGCTATGTTTGTTAAATTGAGAAAATATTATTAGGTTACAGAATAGATTGATGGAATTTGTGAGTAACTTGCCAGCGAGATATGTTTCAACTTGGAAGCTACCACAGTGACTCTGACATCCTTCTGTCTCTGAAGTTCAATACTTTTGTTTGACATATGAATCTAATTCCAGAATCTGAGTCATGTTTAAGTCAAACAAGTTCCACTTGAGGGCTTAAGTATAAAATGCAAAGCTGACTATCCAGCGCAGTACTCAGGGAGCATTCCAATGTTAGAGGTATCTTCTTTTGAATAAGAGAATAAACCAAGATTCTACCAGCCTGTTTGGGTAGATGTAAATGATCCATCACGCTGATTTGAAGAAAAGTGGGAGAGTTATTCCCCATGTCCTCAGTGATGCTTATCCCTCAATCAACATCGCAATAAACAGAATATCTGTTCATTCATGCATTACTACAGCAAAAACAGTTTTATACATGAATTTTATTTGGCTGCAAGTAATTTTGGATGTCTGGTGATGGTTCTGCATATCTTTTCTCTTTACACATGGTTATGTAAAAATGCAAGCACCAACGTAGAGGGTAACCTGTAGAAAATCTTATTTACTTTTCAAAAATGAAATATTATTCACACAGTTATAATCAAATGAAAATCTTTTTGTGTAATAAAGAAATCATAAGTTTTTCTCTTCCCTTTTCTGTCACTTCTGTGTAGTGATGCCACTGTGGCTTCAGCAAAGCTAAACAGGCCGAGACCCTTCACCAGAAATGGGGGAGGGGAAGGGGGTTCTGAAATAAATAGGGAGAGAGGGGGAGGCGGATAGAAGATGGATAGAGGAGAGGATAGGTGGAGAGGATACAAACAGGTCGAAGAGGCGGGGATGGGGCCAGTAAAGGTGAGTGTAGGTGGGGAGGTAGGGAGGAGATAGGTCAGTCCAGGGAGGACGGACAGGTCAAGGGGGCGGGATGAGGTTAGTAGGTAGGAAATGGGGGTGCGGCTTGAGGTGGGAGGAGGGGATAGGTGGGAGGAAGAACAGCTTAGGGAGGCGGGGACGAGCTGGGCTGGTTTTGGGATGCGGTAGGGGGAGGGGAGATTTTGAAGCTTGTGAAATCCACATTGATACCATTGGGCTGCAGGGTTCCCAAGTGGAATATGAGTTGGGGGAGGGGAGATTTTGAAGCTTTGTAGGTTACGTGGAACAATCCCTCTTCCGTACCTACACTGGCCCTAAAACCAGAGGCGAAGGAATTGGGAATAGGGAATAGCATTTTTGCAGGAAGGTGGGTGGGAGGAGGAGTATTCTAGGTAGCTGTGGGAGTCGGTGGGCTTGAAATGAATATCGGTTTCTAGGTGGTTGCCCGATATGGAGACAGAGAGGTCCAGGAAGGTGAGAGAGGTGTTAGAGATGGTCCAGGTAAACTTAAGGTTGGGGTGGAAGGTGTTAGAGAACTGGATGAACTGTTCGAGCTCCTCGTGGGAGCACGAGGCGGTGCCGATACAGTCATCAATGTAACGGAGGAAGAGGTAGGGTTTAGGGCCGGTGTAGGTACGGAAGAGGGATTGTTCCACGTAACCTAGAAAGAGGCAGGCGTAGCTTGGGTCCATGCGGGTACCCATGGCCTACCTAGAATACTCCTCCTCCCACCCACCTTCCTGCAAAAATGCTATCCCCTATTCCCAATTCCTTCGCCTCCGCCACATCTGCTCCCAGGATGAGGCATTCCACTCCCGTACATCTCAGTTGTCCTCGTTTTTCAAGGACCGTAACGTCCCCCCCTCAGTGGTCGAGAACACCCTCAACCGTGTCTCCCACATCTCCCGCAACTCATCCCTCTCACCCCGTCCAAGCAATAAGAGCCAAAAAAGAATACCCCTCACGTACCACCCTACCAACCTCCGGATCCAATGCATCATCCTCCGACACTTCCACCATCTGCAATCCGACCCCACCACCAAAGACATCTTTCCCTCCCCACCCTTATCTGCTTTCCGGAGGGACAACTCTCTCCGTGACTCCCTTGTCCGCTCAAACACTCCCCTCCAGCTCCACCACACCCGGCACTTTTCCCTGCAACCGCAGGAAGTGCTACACCTGCCCCCATACCTCCTCCCTCACCCCCATCCCAGGCCCCAAGAAGACTTTCCACATCAAGCAGATGTTCACCTGCACATCTGCCAATGTGGTATACTGCATCCGCTGTACACGGTGTGGCTTCCTCTACATCGGGGAAACCAAGCGGAGGCTCGGGGACCGTTTTGCAGAACACCTACGCTCGGTTCGCAATAAACAACTGCACCTCCCAGTCGCGAACCATTTCAACTCCCCCTCCCATTCCTCAGACGACATGTCCATCCTGGGCCTCCTACAGTGCCACAACGATGCCACCCGAAGGTTGCAGGAACAGCAACTCATATTCCGCTTGGGAACCCTGCAGCCCAATGGTATCAATGTGGATTTCACAAGCTTCAAAATCTCCCCTCCCCCTACCGCAGCCCAAAACCAGTCCAGCTCGTCCCCGCCTCCCTAACCTGTTCTTCCTCCCACCTATCCCCTCCTCCCACCTCAAGCTGCACCCCCATCTCCTACCGACTAACCTCATCTCGCCCCCTTGACCTGTCCGTCCTCCCTGGACTGACCTATCCCCTCCCCAACTCCCCACCTACACTCACCTTTACTGGCCCCATCCCCGCCTCTTCGACCTGTTTGTTTCCTCTCCACCTATCCTCTCCTCTATCCATCTTCTATCTGCCTCCCACTCTCTCCCTATTTATTTCAGAACCCCCTTCCCCTCCCCCTTTTCTGATGAAGGGTCTAGGCCCGAAACGTCAGCCTTTCTGCTCCTATGATGCTGCTTGGCCTGCTGCGTTCATCCAGCCCTGCACCTCGTTGTCTCGGATTCTCCAGCATCTGCAGTTCCTACTATCTCCATCTGAGCAATGCTTGGAGGGATGATGCCCTTCAAAACAGACCCTCCACTATTGCTAATGTCCAACTGCTCCAACTCAAATGTGAAGTACACCTTTCTATGTGATAAATGCTCACCCTTTCCTAGATCTCCTCAGCAGCTGAAAGTATTATGAGACATCAAAGACATGAGTTAGCACTGACGTTGAGAGGGGACACAAATTCAACTTAGTGCAAATCATTACAGCTCACTTATAGGGTATGTGTATTCTACATGATTGCTAGTTAAGTTCGAAGTGTCACCAGGTCTCTGGACCATTGCTAACTCTCCATTGCCACTACTCAGTAATTGGGCCACCTGACAGATCTCTGTTATTGTTAGCGTGGCAATGGGTGCTAGTCTGCCCTGATACTCTGAAATTCCCTTGGAGTTTTGGGATTTTTTTCAGTAATGATAAAAATGTTATGAGTTTGAGAACCTTGTGACGATACTATGGTTTTAAGAGGTGTATTCTGTCTTCTTTTTATGAAGAGAGGTTGAGACAGAGGTGCTGAGCGGTGAGCTCAAAGCCAATAAGGTACAGATAGTTCTCCTATAATACAATAACTGCATTCTTATGTATTTTTGCACAACAGAAAATCGCATTATGGGGAAATCGCTAGTAGAAAGCTCGTGTTATCCAATAGTGTCTACTATTCACCAATCACGTTACAGCCAATTCACATTAATGAAATGTTAATTATTGCAGAAATACCTGTAAACAGCTTGTGAAGCCTTAGTTTTTTTTTAAAGAAGTTGGAACAATAGAAACAGCCAGAATGGGTGGGCTCAAGCTCGCACAGAACCAAGATTTTTAGTTTTAGCTTTCAGTAGCTGTTGGGATTGTGAAAACTGCTACATCTCTCTCTCTCTTTGCTACAGTTAAAAGTTTGGGTTCTCTTTCTGCTGCTAGACTTGCATGAGAGATAATCTATTTTACTGATTTTGCCTTTGCCAAGGGTGTGCTTATGGTATGTTACTATATTGGAACAGTTGCTGTTTAGTAGTTAAATAATCTATAATTCTGTTATGTTTTCCAATGGAGTAAATTATTCCAATCCTTTTTTACTTTGTATTTTAACTACAATGTATGAACAAAGTGTGTTTTGCTTCAAGCCTGATAGTTTGACCAATGTTTTTTGCCAACAGTGAACAGTCTCTGTTGCTGTGACAGCAGAGGACAGGCTTTAAAATAGCTGCAAATGTGATGATAATGCTATAACCCACTTGAAGAGCTCGCTCATAACTGTCTCAGGATTTTGCTCGGTTCCTGGGGTGCTGGTAGCCGTGCAATTTCAGTAGGCATTAAATTGAGAAATTTCCACTGAGAGAATGGTGCTAAGGTCTGAATAATGGATATTGAACTCTCTTCATGTATGAGGATAATTTTCCCTAGAATGAAACTAATAAAAGTCCTGAATTGTGAAATATTGCATCAAGAGGGCAGCAGAGTTGAAAAGTTAGGCTGTTAGAGACAATCTTCGAATCTTCAGAATATGTCATGGTATTATCAGCTTCTAATTTCTTTTGATGACAGAGGAACAGCTGGGACATATAGTATTACAAGTAATGTAACCAGGTTTGTAT